AATGTTTTTTAATGGCTCAAATGTTTGTCTACAAATAATCAAGTTAAAGATATGTTTAAACTCGTGATTTTTTCTTATAACTTTGAAATTAAGAATTTATATTTGAAAATAATTTTTTTGTTAAAAAGAAAATGTAAGGCACTTATGTAAATGTAAAACTAGATATCATATTATTTTAAACATATTATGCAAATACTTGTCATGAGGTTCAAGAGTTGCTGGCTCCAATTTAAGCAATAAAGAGGAGCAGACTTTAAATGTGAAGGAATCTTACTATATAGGATAGTCGTCCTTGAGCAATAAAGAGCATTAGCATGTTTATCGAAACACACTAAAAATTTCAAGTTCATTTTGTGGATAGTCGCCCTTGAATGAGAAGTATATCTTTTTTTTTTATTTGAACTCTTATGTAGTCTTTTGAATTTTAGTATATTGAATATATCCCCATTATACTACTGTTGCAAACAGCTCCACTGTGTGTAGCCGAAATGGTTATTTTTCCAAATATAGTTGCAAATCAGTTGTTCTCAAACTGCAGAAACAAAACAGTTTAACAGTTTATTCAGTTCAGAGGCAGAATGGTCATTTATCCACAAACAGTTGCAAATCAACAGTTCACCAAATGCTGAAACCAAACAAACAGACAGCTTATTCAGATCAGCTGTTGATCAGATAAGCTGCTGATCTGGATAAGCTGAATAAGCTGCAGCTGCCCCAAACAGACCCTAAATCAATAAGCGTCTTATTAAACAAGTGGTGAAAGTTAAAAAAGAGGTGGGTGGAACTTTTACGGCATCTAAAGATTCTATAGTGGAAGTAAACACATGAACTTTGTTGTGGGTTTGAAACAATACCATTTAGATGACCAACTCACCAAGAGTGTCCATTTCCTAACCATCTGCTAGGTTATTACCATTGACTAGATAGTGCAAATAGCAGCATAAAAGAGTATCATGTTATGCAAAAAAAGAAGATATATGTCCAAACTAAGAAACTAGATTTAGGATGACATAGGTGCTCGACTTGACCTTAGCAGAACCTTCCACCTTCATACCAATAGGCAAACCAAGCAAATCATATAGAAGCTAGAAGATCATCACGAAAAGAGTTTTCAACTTTGAAGGAAACTAGGAATGACATCATTCCTTAGTGGAATTCGCCACCAATAACAACTATGATGCCTAGATAGGCATGACATCTTAGGAATTATTGTATGGATGAAATTATAGATTGTCACTCAACTGGCTAGAGCCTAGAGAAAAAGCAGTCATTAGTGTTAGTTAGAAAATTCAATAAAAGACTTGGGATAGCCCAACACTTATAGAAGAAGAGTCATGACCCCAAAACACTAAGACATGCAGCTCAATGCCAAAGACGAAGTTTTTCCAAAGATTAACTTCATGTGTGGAGTCAAATAGTTCTAACGATCCCAAAAGCTTCAATCATGGTGCATTAGTCCTTTAAGGTAGACAATTGATTAGAGCTTCTAGCCTACCAATGTGCAAGAATTTTTCGAGTAGGGATAAACCAAACCAACAAGATAAATTAGATTAGCTTTTTTCTATTTATTTCAAGAATAACTATCTTAATTTTTTTTTTGAAAGCCCAAAAAGGGGCTAATATGCCCAAAAAGGCTAATATGTTAAATAGAAAGAAAGATACAGATACAATGTGTGGGAGGGCCCAAGCATGACACCCTGCCCACACAAAAACTACAAATGGTTCCAAAACTAGAAAAAACTGAAAAAATACATTAGATACTTAAATAAAAAGCCCAAAAGTGCCGAAATACATAGAATCAGGTGGCTAGAGAGAGACCCAATTTGGTCTTGCCTCTGTCTCTAGTTCTAGGGAAGGAGCAAGCTAATAAGCTGGTAAGATGATCGTCATTACCATTAGTAACCAATGTATCATCCAATATGTCCCCGAGCTGGAGTCGGCCTCCATTCTTTTTCTTCCTCCTGGAATAAACATGTCATTCCTCATCTAAAGAATCAGTAGGAAAACCAACCGTAGTACCCACAATAGGTTCTAGTATATGTGAAATATGAGTTGCCTCTACACCGGATACTTCCTGAAGAAGTGGAACTACGAGGCACTCCTGATTATCAGCCTGAACACTATCATTTGTAGGTAATAGTTCATCAGTATTGTTCTATATGGGGTTTGAAGGTGTAGCATCACATCACTCGCGGTAACGGTAACAGTAACAACAGTGTCTATATATATTAATTGAAAGGTTGTAAGTAATTGTTGAGTTAACAAGAAGAGAAAAGAGAGTGATCAAGATAATTCTTTTAATTTGTAACTCTTTTATTTTGTATAATACTCGGGCTTAAGGAAATACATATTTTAGGATATTGATTGGAAAACACTGATAGAGTTTTAGAGGTGATCGGAGAAGTGATTAAGTGAAGGTGGTATCATGGGATTTAAAAATGAATAAGGTACGTGAGACATGCAACTTAAGTATAAACACTATGATTTAACGAGGCTAAAAAAAAGATTGTCTTTACATTTTATAATTAGCTTAGAGATATAAAGTTTCAAAATTAACAAGTTTAAAGAGATTATTAAAGAAATAATTTATGTAATTATATATTATGCCAAAAGAAGTGGAGATTGAAGATTAGGTGACATAATAAATCAATTAAAGGTCAAGGTAAGTAATTATATTTTTGTTTGTACTACATACAATTCTGCTAAGTATAAAAGCTTTTCTTAAATTAATTAGAATCATACTTGAATTGTTCAAATCATTGCAAGCATTAAAAAATATTAAATGTTCAAATTCAATATAAATATATAAAATCTAAAACATTGTTTTAATAATGTTCAATGCATTCACACAGAAAAGATTAATGTATATTTCAATTAATTGAAAGAAAGTAAATAAAAACCAAATGAAATAAAGATTTAAGTAAATAACAAAAATCACCCCTTTATTGCACTAGTTGGTGATGTTATTGTAACGGTGCACAAGCATGACAATGTAAAATGCTTAAATAATAAGATGAAAATGATTGTAACTTAATTGATACAATATTTAGATGGCGCTCCTGAGAAGATTTCGTAATTGAAATGTATTTAAAATTGATATAAAGTTTACAAAAAAAAAATGAAATTATTTATAGATTTTAATAAATATCATTTTTGAACCACCTATATGTCAAAGCATATGCATAAAAGCTTAGCAGACAATATAACTATAATTATTTGCTAAATTAGTGTAACTAAACCTATTGTATAAATATTACTTCAGAAAAAACTTTTTTAAATTATGGCAAACAAAAGAAATTATGTTCATGGAAAAAGTAGAGTAAATGAAAATATGTATCGGACAATATTGTTTGTGCGTATTTAATTCACTAGTATGGTTACAAATTGAATATTCTTGTGTATTTGATTGATGTATATAAACTCCTATGACTTTGTGACACTTTATTGTTTGGATATTATTTTGATTTGTAATATATGTTAAATTAGTGTATACCTACCATCCGGCCATACATTCTAGCCCTAAGAATTTTAAGCTCTCAGGTCGGGTCGTGACAGTGACACAATGAGTAATAAATTACCTACCAAACCATTAAAACCTTAATATATTTTAGAAAGCTAGTACCTCACATTTTCACTTCCTTTCTATTTAAATATAAGGACAATCCTTTATGATGATGGAATATTACCTTCAAAAAGCCTTTCAAGCCCCCAATGACTCTTACAGGTATCATTACAGTGCACATTCAAAAATCTGAAATCTGTTTATGGAATTTAACAAATATCTTTGGAGCATTTTAGGGTTTCATCCCCTCTGTTCAAGAAAAACTAGACCCTTGCAATTTCGCCTTGCCTTAGAATTGTTACCCAGTCATGTTGAAATCATCATTATGATTCCTGGTGCTTCCATACTGAGTTAATTTTATTAACAAAGCAACTGATGCCAAGAAGAATTATAGCAAATCCCCCAACTTGATTTTCACCTTGCACACTAACCCAAAATAATTGAATTGATAATGCTAATAGTGAAATTATTTAGTATTTAATGATAATTTTCAATCCTAGCTCAAATAAATTCGTTTTGAACTAATGCTGATGCCTGGTTTTGCTTGATTTTCAGCCTTCTTCTAACCAAAGTTGTAAATTGCTTCGATATTATTATGAAGCTTAGAGAGAACTTGTTATCTTTATATGGAAATCATACAAAGGTTACCTTCAAAAAGTAGTCCAAAATCATAGAATTTTGTGGGTAACAATATAGAGTTAATTCGCATTTATACTACAGAATAAATAGCAAGTATATGTCCAACAAGCGAATATGAACATTGCACTTTGGAAGTTAAAGGAGTACATTTTAGGCGGTCAGGGTGAGCAACTGTTGACAAAGAATATTTCACAAGAAAGTAAAATAGCCAATCAGAACGCAAATAAGTGATTCCCAAGGTTTGGATGTTACGAGTATTTTAGTTCAAGAAATCTTTATACTTATACATGAACACACAATTATACACAGCAAATTTCGGTGAAACTATAACTTCTAGCTAATAATGAACTAGTAATATAATAACTGAAAATCAAAAAATATTCCAAAAGACCAACAAATTTTAAGTATAATAAAGTCAATTTATAACTAAGAAAAAAAAAACCCTAGTAATTGCTTGAAAATGTTTGGAAAATTTTTTTATATATTTTTTGAGGCGCTACTGTGCTAGGTATGGCTCTATTGAAATTGGGTTCAGTAAACTATATTAAAAAGTGCGCATACAAGTAAGGTTAACTGAAACCTTAGCCTCCAATGCTAAAGTGATTTCAAGGCAGTTCAAATTTGCTTAAACTTATTTAAAATTGATCCAAACTCCCTCAAAATATATTTATTCCCACCCTAATCCTCAACTTGGGGCAATAACCGAGGTCATAAGACGTCCTTTAAAATACAGAAGAGAACACAATAAGGATGAAAGAATAGTGAAACAAAATATTGTAGCAATAAATTTGACCAATACCTTTAGGACTCCACTGAACACAGAGAGCTGCACGGTTTAATCTAAGAATGACTAAAGTAGGTACCCACTCAGATCCTTCATGATTCCAAACATATCTGGAAGAAGATCCGTAATAAATGTCAAACAAGAATCTTTGTGTCGGTCGTTCATCAATAGTGAAAGCTAAACTGCTAAAATATATAAATGATATAAATGACAAAATTAAATTCTCAATGTCTACTCACGAATTTCTATCATGAGATGCAGTTACAATTTTGTTGGAACTGAGACTCCAATCTATCCCCGATATAATTTGATCATGCTGCCAAAAAGGATAGGAAGAAGAAAGAGTGAACATATTAGATAAACGAAAATCACAAGTTTCAACAATGCCAAATGAATGTGAGTTTGCATTAACAAGAACTAATAAAAAAACCTTAAAGAGAACATGGACCCTCTCCCATTTGTCCACAGTAAATTTATAGATATGAACTTCAGTGTTGTTTGGACACAATGCAACCACTGCAGTATATGAAATTAAATGCCATCAATTGGTTGAGCAAAAGGAATAATTAACTCATTAAAATTGAAGTATTACCCCTCTCCCTAACAAAACTAATGTTTAAATTTGCATTCATGGAATTTAACTAGAAATGATGAAAATGGGTGTCGCAAACCGTAAACTAAGTATGGTCACAGCTAGCATGTGAACCGATCGTCACTAACGTAACTTATTATTGCCTTAAGTCATGATATAAGGAATAAATGTTATGAGGATCTTGCCTATACCCCACTGTCCTAAGGTGACACCACCCAAGACAAATAGAGAGCTGCAACTGCAACTCCTCTATCTCTCTCTCTCACACACATATTCATTTCCAATCACAGGAAACACTAATTCACAATCTAAGTCACTCTATGGAGTCGCCAGAAGCTTTTTTGTCCCTCAACATCTAGTTCATAGTTGCATCCCATCGTCAGTGATCTGCGCATCTTTGCAACTCTATGTGCTTCCTCATTAGTTTGTCCTTCTTTGATGGTGACTTCAACATATCAAATACTCCCAAGTTCTCTTGCTTAAGACAAAACACTATTTTCTTAGCATCTCCATCCCAATACCTTCACCTTTTGCTTGTCATATTTGCTGAGCCATATTTAATGTTGAGACTATTCTCAATTCATCTTATCCGCTGGGTTTAGTAAGACAATAACTATTTGACTATTAGAGAGTGAATTTTATAGTTCTAATTATTAATTATTCATCATCTTGTTTAAGTTAGCTTATTATTTAGATGTATTTAATTAAAACATTGGGTAAATATATCTTTTCGCAATAACTTAAATAATTTTCAGAGTTGGATTGATTCATACTGGAAATTGTTTAACCTTGGCTAATTTTTGCTGAAATATTCAATTTAGGGGAAATTAGTGTTTTGGGTTTTGGTTTCCTACTTCTATGTATTTTGGCATAAGTAGTTGTTTACTCTATAAATAATAGTATATAAATGTATGTGATTACTTTAGAGTTTTTATCGAAGGTTTTTGAAATAGTCTTTATCTAGCATTGTTTTTTTTTATATCAAAGTTGAGCATTGGACTCTCCCACCAAATCTAGATGTAGGTAACTTTTATTGATTGGTGGAAAAAGCTATCATTATTTTTTCAAACCATTACCTTGTTATTTGTTTTAAACTTGATTATTTAACAATTACCTGCATGCCTTATGCTTTATTTTATTTTTTGTTCACGTAGATGTGTCATATGAGGTGTTTAACTAATTTTTCACAAATCATTTTGAATAAAAGTTATTAATATTGCCTGAGTTATATTTCATTTCTATCATTCCATCATAATCCCCTGATACTAATTTATCTGCCAGTTTCATGGATGTATTTTTCATATCTTATAGCACAAGTTCAATCAACCTAAGCCATTTTTAAATTATCTTACAATCAATAAATTTCACTCCAATCATTAATCTAATATGCCCATTACCTATATTAACCTCTTTGTATTTGCCACACATCATTTTTAAATTTCTCTTTTTTTTGGAATGCTCAACTTATATATCAACAATGCTTTTATAGTCTAACGCTTGGACCAATAAAATGTTGTTGGCTTAATTAAAGTTTTATGTATTCATCTTAACACCTCCATACTTCTGATCTTTCACAAAATAACCCAAAAGCACTTCTCCATTATAACAACCCAAAGTCCCAAACTTAACTCTTTAAGTTATATTTTCATAAATATTGCGATGATAAGCTATAATAAATCCAGGAAACCTAAACTTATTAACCTAGCCATACTTTTATCTTCTAATCAAGGCTTTTTCTTTTTCTTTTTTTTTTCTTTTTTTTTTTTTTGCTGACGTTGGTGGCATATCAAGGCTCCATTAAGATGTATGCCTATAATATAATTCCCGGCAAGGAACAAGCATTTAAGTTGCCTTGCTCGTCAGATGCCTAATATTATTAATGCAAAATGAAGCATGTTTTTAACGGATTGAAACTTGGGTTAAAGAAAGAAATATCACGAAAAGATAGTTTGTTGAAATATTTCTAGTAACTAATATGTTACTTGATGATGTGAACCATTCTCATAGCTATAAAGCTTTAAAGTTGTAATAAAGTATAGGTTGCCGCATAAGTACTACTCTAAATGATGGATTTATACAAAAATAATCACGTTGGTCATGCGATGATGCAAGCACGAGCGGCCATGGGCAGAGGTGATATAGAGCCAATTTTGAGCACATTAATCGCAAATTAAATTTAAATATTTTGAATTTGACTCAAGACAAATTCAAGTCCAACCAAATTTTCATAAATTTTGAGTATAGTTTAGATTGAAAAGCTGGGATCAGCCCTAGTCGTCATTGTAGATGAAAGCAAAGCCCGTGTTGCATTCTTGGCTTATTCTCCAAGAACACCAGCAAAAAAGAGAGCCACATGCCCATTCGATTGTGCCAATATTTGACTTGTTTTTCCAATGGGCCAAAGCGCTTAGTTGTTTTGTTTTCCCCTTTCTAGTTGGAAAACAAGAACCTCTGGATAATGGCCTGGACTGCACCATGCCATCAGACGTACGACGTGGATTGTATCATGCCATAGTTTTTATGTCCGAACGACAAAAATAATATTTTCATGTAATTATTTTGATATTTAATACTCTATTCACCTGTACATTTGATATATGCAAAGTGTTTATTCGGGGGAAATTGACTATATACCGCATAGGTCATGATATCCAAAATTTATCAAATATGTGTGTATTTTTTATTGATTAAATATATTTTTATTTTTATTTTTAAATAAATCATCAGTACTATTATAGAAATAGGATTCAAAATAGTCAAATAAAGATTTGCTTAAACAATTCAGCTCATAAGTCCTTCATCTCTAATGATCTTCAACCAAATGCAATTATTCTATGATAAACATTCTATATATGCCTTCAATGATATACCCAAGGTTAATTATAGTATATGTTTGATTATTTAGATTGAAAAATGTTATACCCATTCGAAATTCTAAACTCATTTACTTTAGATATGATATTATTTACTACAAACATTGGATAAGCTCATTAGAATCTTGCAACTAAGAGATTAAAAATTTGTTCAAACATAGTTTGCACATATTTAAACAATGTTCGAACCAGTGTTTAAGAGCATTTGAACATTATTCAAAAAATGGTTTGATCATGGTACAAAAATGAATCTAGCATAATTTGATTATGATTCAAACATGGCTTAATCGTAGTTTGAACATTGTTTTAATTATGATTTGAATTGCACCACGCCGTCAGACGCACGACGTGGATCGGATCACGCCATAGTCTGTACGTCTGAATGACAGACATAATAATTTCATGCAATTATTTTGATCTTTGATATCATATTCATTTGTATATTTGATGTATGCAAAACATTTATTCCTGGGAAATTGATTTATATACCGCATAAGTCATAATATACAAAAGTTATCAAATATGTGGGATTTTTTTATTGGTGAAATATACTTTGATTTTTATTTTGAAGGAAATCATCTGTACTATTGTAGAAATAGGATTTGAAATAGTAAAATAAAAAGTTAGCTTAAACAATTTGGTTCATAAGGCCTTCATCATCTGCAACTATTTTATGATAAACTTCCTATATATGCCTCCAATTATATACTCAAGTTAAATTATAGTATATGTTTGATTATTTAGATTTAAATATGTTATCCCCACTCGAAATTCTAAACTCATTTATTTTAGATATCATATAATTTAATACAAACATTGAAAAACCTCATTAGAATCATATTAATATTTAATTTTTTTAATATATATATATATTTGTGTGTGTGTGTGTGTGTGCGTGTGTGCGTGTGTGCGTGTGCGTGTGCGTGTGTGCGTGTGTGTATCGCACACATGTACCCACAATCATATTTTAAAAAAATATATTATTCAGCATGTTTTGAGATAAATATAAATAATAGTGTAATCATGATTAGAGTCAATTTGGAGTTAGAATCAAAAAAAATTTGAAAGCAGATATACTTCAGCTTCAAGCCAATTAAAACTCCAAGTTTCGAGTTTCAAACACCCTATGAGAAGCACTAATTAAGTGGAACTATGTCCCTCTCATCATAAGTACAGAACATAGCATGGTATGACGGAAGCAAATCTAACCATGCTCAGTCTAGCTGAGATTATTAAAAACAGTGCAAACCTAGTTAGTTCTAAAACCTTCATATATATGAGACTATGATTGACGGTTGCGATTGCAGTTTAGAGAAACTTGTGAAACAGCTGATAGTCCTTTTCTTGTGGAAACTTTCCTTCGTCCATGGAGCTAACCACAACCATCTTCAAACCATTGGAAAAACAAGATGGCATCAACCCTATTACAATTGCACTTTTTGCCCGTACAAGTTCTAATTATAAGGGAAAAATATCTTTTCACCTGCTTTAGGCTTAAGAAATCAAAGTCAAAACTAAAAAATAAAAGGATAGGCCTATTTAGCAATCCCAATGAATAATACTGCTATCCTACCCAAACAAAAAGAACTCTAACATATGGAACTGATCTCCTTCATCCCACTAAGCTCAAAGTAGATGAGAACAGTAGAAATGGCCCAACAGGAGCTCATATAATCGAAAAGGCAAAAAGGAATAAAATTACTCGTTCGATCGGGACTCCATGCGTGGCAGGTAATGCACTGAGCAAATTGATGGACCTCAACAGCCGGCATGCCTTCCTCTCTCGCCTGCGATCTCGCTTTACTTTGGCGAACGTGGATCTAAGAAGAAAGAAAAGTGAAACGCAGAAAATGGAGGTGGGTCGGAAAGCTGCAGGGTATCAGCCCTAGTTGTCGTTGTGGATGAAAGTAGGATCCGTGCTAAATTCTTGGCTTATTCTCCAAGAACACCATGAAAAAGAAAGCCACATGCCGGTCCTATTGTGCCGATATTTCACTTGCTTTTCGATGAGCCGAAGAACTCAGTTGTTTTTTCTTCCCTTCTTGCTGGGTTTTGAAACTCAATAGCGCTCATTTGCCTAGCTTTAAATTTCGTATCCAAGTAGTTATGCCACTTTATTTTGAAGAAAATATTATGTTCTTCAAATCCTAGATGTGATAGATGGCATGGGTGTCATGACATAATACTTTCTCATTATTTTGATGTTTGATATTTCATTCGTTTGTATATTTGATATGGACAAAGCATTTATTTGTGGGAATTTGACTTTATAAAGTGCATAAGTCATAATATCTAAAATTTATAAGATTTGTGCATATTTTTTTTATTGATGAAATATATTTTGAGCTTTTATTTTGAAATAAATCATCCATATTATTATAGAAATAAGATTTAAAGTAGTTGAAATAAAAAGTTGCTTAAACATTTCACTTCATAAGGCCTTCATCTCCAGTGATCTTCAAGCATGTTAAATTATTTTACGATCGATATGTGCTAGAAGATTCGCAGCAGTAGATTAATAATTTATCGTCTTTGCATTGCATGAAAATTCAACACATGCTCAGATAGAATAAAACAAACAGTAGACACCAAAAGTTTTTACAAGAAATCCCATAAGAGAAAAAACTACGTGATCTTACCAAATTGTAAATAATTCACTATAATTAATGATTAAAATGACCTATTATCCCACAAGAGAAAAAGAGTTACAAAGTCTCCCGAGTTAAAACGTTGTTGTGCTGATGAAGTTGTTGTAAGAAGTGGGAGGCGAGCAATAGTGATAAGTGGCAACCGACAAGAGAGTGACGGTGACCCGGAGTCGGCGGTGGCAGAAGGTAGTAGGCAGCAGTCAGTGGCAGTCGACTACGATGTGTGTTGGACTTCAGCTTCTCCAAGTTTCAAGTTCTTCTTCAGGCTTTAAGTTTTCCTTTAGACTTCAAGCTCTCCTCCTCCCTCATGAGAGGGGCGGCTCTATTTATAGAGTTTAGGGTGCAATTAATTCAGAAATATGAACCATTTTAATGGAACGGTTCAGAGAACTTTCTTTGATCAAATGGAGTTTGATGAACATTTGAGTGCCTTAATAATGTCAAAATTGAGTGATTATGGGTTCGTTGGATTATTCTTATCGAAATATTTGATTTGACTATAAGCTCGCCAAATATGACATTCATTCGACCTTCCAAATATGCTCAGAAAGCTTCCAAATGTAGTTTAATGCCTTGATTGGGGATTGATTTGACTCATATTAGATCAATTTTTGTATCATAGTGTCAGTCTCATTGAGCTGATCAATTTGACTATAAGTTTGCTGAAATCGGACTTCCAGTTGACTTTTTATCAAAGTTTAATGTTGGTGGCATATCAACGATGAACTTTCTATATATTGCCTTGAGTGAGCGGGCTCAAGGTTAATTATAGTATTTGTTTGATTATTTAGATTTAAATATGTTATCCCCACTTGAATTTCAAACCCACAATTATTTCAGATATCTTATTATCAACTAGCATGACTCGACTATAATCTTGCCACAAAAAGATTAAAAATTGGCTCAAACATAATTTGCAAATAATTAAAGAATTTTCGAAGCAGAGTTAAGGAACATTTTATCATTATTCAAAAAATGGTTTGATCATGCCACAAAAATGAATCTAACATAATTTGATTATGATTCAAGCATGACTTGATCATAGGTAGAACACCGTTTTAAATATGATTGGAATAACATTTGAATAAGGTATAGATAATGTTTAAATTGTAAGAACCCAAAGTTCCTTTGCTAACACCATGCCACAATCCAGCACCGCCCATCTTTCTAGATCGTGAGCTTTGCCTCCTTCCCAAACCGTTTTCTTGATTGTTTCATTGACACAATCTTTCATGCTCCCAGCTGCAACCGACCCTAGCCATAGGTCGTGTAATCTTCCTTTTATTCTGCGACAAACTCATGATTCGTCACTTTCACACATTTCTCATATGCTAATCTCACGATTTTCCTTCGTTCACCGCCTTCCTCGTCAAGATTTCTCATGCACACGCCTAACCATCTTCCTTCTCGACTTAAGGAGGATGAAGCTTAGAGCATCGCTCATCTCTCCCTCGCAATCGTTGAATCAATCAAGCAAGTTGTAATTCTCCTCTCCCCTCTTTTTTTTGTATGTATGTTGTGTGCTCTTAAATTATAGCAATAGAGCGATATATTAATGTTTAAGTATTGTACGAGAAACTATCACACACATGGGTAAAAAAATTTGATAGAAAATACAAATGAAATTTTTATGCAGAAAACCTAATGGGCAAAAATCACAAGGTATGACCCATTTGAAATAATTTTACTATATCCACATGGATCACAAAACTTTATCGGACCTTAAATATTGAGAAGCAATTTCAAATGAATGGGATGTGACTTTCACTAGGGAAATGACGAAAAATACTAAGTGACGGTGATTGACGGTGCCCCGACCGTTGTGAAAAAAAAAAAACTAACAGTTGAGATCAAGTGCAAAAAATTCTAATGTCAATGTAGGTAGTAGTGACAATGGCGATAATGGTAGAGCAACAAAGGTTTGGTGATGGCAACAATGGTAGTTTAGGATGACAGTAGTGGTCCGACATCAATATTAGTAGAGATTGGGCATCGGTGATCTGACGATGATGACGATCAGACAATAGTGGTTTGGTGGCGACAATGGTGCTCCAGTGGTGGCCTAATGACAGTGGTGGTCTAACGATAGTGATCGAGTGTCGATGTTTCAGTTGTGGAGATAGTCGGAAGATGGTGGTCTGATGGCGAAAATGGTGATCCGACGATGGTTTATTGGTGGTGGCAAGCAGAAGAAGATGGTCAGACAATGGTGGTTTTAACGAGGATGGTGTAGGCTGGGCAGCGATGTCTTGACGGCGGCGACTCGACGGTGGTGGTAATGAGTTGCGATAGTTGTCCAGTGGTGGCGACGACTACTCGTTGACGGTCCGATGGTGATGGTCCAATGACAGTGATGGTCGTGCAACGATGCTTCGATTGTTGTGTTTGAGTAACAATAATCTAGCGTTGACTATGTAGCGGTAATGATGGTCCACCAATGGTTGGGGATCAATCGCATTGGCCAGGCAGCTGTGGTTTGGTAGCAGAACGGTGGTCCGACGATGGACAAACAATAGAGGTCTAGCTGCGATGGTGACTCAATAATGGTGACCGAGCTGTGGTGGTCTGGCAATGAATGCGGCTTGATAGTGGTGGCTGGACAGTGACAATGGTGATCCAGCAGTGATGTCGTCTAGTCGATGCTGGTCTGGTAATGGTGGAGCTCAAGAATTCTCAAGGGCTTGGAGCTCCTTCAACTTTCTCATTTAGGTCCAGGTCCTCCTTCATAAAAGAAGTGAGGATCTATTTATATATTTTGTGAGTGACATCCTCTGTAAATATTGCATGAATCTAGATGACTCCATTGGACGGCCGAGAGTGTTTTCTTTGATCGAATAATATCGAGAGTGTTTTCTTTGATCGAATAATATTTTGAGTATTTGGGTGTGTTAACAATGTCATAATTGGGTGATATAGGGCTTGTTAAATTCAGTTTAACGAGACGCTCGATTTGACTGCAAGCTTGTCAAAGTTGGAATACATTTGATTATGCAATTGACCATCCAAAACTTCTAATTGTGCTTAAATGGCTTGATCTGGGTTTTATTAGACTAGGATAAAGCCAATTTTGATTTCATCAGGCTCTCTTTATCGGGACATTAATTTTAACTATAAACTTGTTGGATTGTCGCAATAAGATTTGTTGAAAATATATCTTAAGCTTTTGAAGAATTGTGTACACAAAATGATGATCTTCAAGGAAATGTGAGATGCAATTGCTCCTTTTGTGTTAATACATAACTCCTTTGATGAGTCCTGACTCTAGAAACTCTTTAATATTCATATGAATACATTAAATTTAGTCCGAAATGCCAGAAGAAAACCTCAGGTACTACAGGGTGTTAAAAATGACCTGTACTTACTACTATTACTAGCAATACTGACTATGAACTGGAAGGCAAACCAACAAGATGTGTGTTTGCAGATCAGAATTTCTTTGAGCGGTCATGGTCGAGCACGCTCGCTTGCAGGTGAAGGAAGGGCACACAGTTGCTGGTGGGTGAACATGCATGTGCGGTTTGGTGTATGCGCGAAGTCGCTGGGCACATAGTCATTGGGATCGTGTTGGGGCTGGTTGCGCGCGCGCATACTCGAGCTGAATTTTGATAAATTTGAGTAATTTTAAAATCTCTTTATATATTTTTCTTTTTCCTCTATTTTTACAAAGGAAATGTAAATAGGGGATTAAAAATTTTGAGATTTTACATAACATTGAAAAATTATCCTCTTCTGTATTATCTTAGAATGTAAAAAAATATTATTTACAGTGGTATGGAGTGCACACATCTCCTCCTTTTGGCTTATGTTCATGACATTCAATGAGATTTTTTGATGAAATTAAAATAAAAAATTAAAAATTAGAAGAACTAATAAGGTTAAAAGAGATAAAGCTCTTACAATTAAAAATAGGATTAAGATCAATAAAACGACAAGGAGAAGTTAAAATAAGAGGGCTACGCTCGATTAAGTATGAACTAATTAGAAGTAAAATTTCCTGAAATAGTAGCACTTGGCCACCAGCTATCCTTTTCTTTCCATTCCAGCTCAGTATATATCTCACGTGCCGCGCATGCCGCACTTCTCTTATGTCTCTCGCATCTTCTTCTTTCCGGCGAGCAAACCAGGGAAAGTAGAGAACTTCCTCTAACTCGAAGGTTGAAATCCACCATCTCCTAAAAAATGCAGTACAACAACCTCGGCAGATCAGGTCTCAAGGTAAGCCAGCTCTCCTATGGAGCTTGGGTGAGCTTCGGTAACCAGCTCGACGTAAAGGAAGCCAAATCCCTTCTCCAATGCTGCCGCGACCACGGCATAAACTTCTTCGACAACGCGGAGGTGTACGCGAATGGTCGAGCCGAGGAGATCATGGGGCAAGCCATACGGGAGCTTGGGTGGAAGCGCTCCGAACTGGTGATTTCCACCAAGATATTCTGGGGTGGACAAGGCCCTAACGACAAGGGACTTTCGCGTAAGCACATCGTCGAGGGAACCAAGGCGTCGTTGAAGCGACTCGACATGGATTACGTCGATGTGATCTACTGTCATCGTCCCGATCCAGCAACGCCCGTCGAGGAAACGGTGAGGGCTATGAACCATATCATTGATCGAGGCTGGTCGTTTTATTGGGGGACGAGCGAATGGTCGGCGCAGCAGATTACTGAAGCGTGCGCGGTTGCTGGAAGGCTTGATCTGGTTGGACCGATTGTCGAGCAGCCGGAGTACAATCTGCTGTCTCGCCACAAGGTGTTTCCTTCCAACTGTTTATTATTTATGATGCACGCTTGATTTAAGGGTTATTGTTAGGGTTTTTATATTTGGCTGGTTCCAGTTGGGATAATGAAGTGATGTTTTTGTTATGGTAATCGATCGATCAAGGTGTTCTGTGATGATGGCAGAAGTAGTGTCTAGAGTGATAGTTCTCTACTTCTTACTTATTAGAGAGCTTGAATACTTGAAACTTAGGATTTCTTATAATAGTAATCTTTATTCAAGCAAAATGCTTGTCTTCGATATTTCGTGGATGTGTTTCTGAAAACCTAGGTGCCTATTTAATATCTCATCAATCTGTAGGGTCGAGGTACTCGAAAAAGTATCTCTATATTTTTGAAAATTTGTTAAGCTGGGGAGTTAAGACTTCAAAGTAGCGATGAGTTTCGGTTAGAGACTTGGAGCAATTTACAAGTTGTTTGATGAGCGTCCAAGACTGGTTAATTATTACTTGCACTCTGGAACAAGATATACTTGTTATGGTCAAATATATTATAACTCAGGCAAGCTTATCTATCTCCTTTTGGTTTCAAGCCTGCAAATGACAATATAACTGTTAAACTGTGAGCCATCAAAATCCTCTCTGAAGCTCCATAGATCCATGAGAGAGAAGGAGTCCAGGTCTTCATATTTGTGATCCTAGGTGTCAAATGTTTATGAACACGATCTGGGACACAATTATACAGATTGTTTTGTAATTCTAAGGAGCATATTTTTTCTAAGATACTTTATGCTATGTAAATGCCATATTTTCACCTAAGAAGATTCTTCAGTGGTTTTTTCCAGGGTTATGGTATTAAGATTGCTCTACTACATTCAATTCTATGGTTTGTTTGTCACAATCTGGCCAAACTTTATTATAATATTATTTTTTGGCAGACATTCAATCTAAAATATAAACAACCAACAATCTCATAAGCTTAATCAACTCTAGAAACAAATGAACGTTTATTCTTTAAATGTAAATGTAGCTTCTGTATCAGTGATGCAGTGGCTAAAACTTGCAAACTCCATGCAAAAATCATCCCTCCACGTCCTTGAAGAACTTCCTTGGTGATATCTTTTTTGAAATCTAGTATGTGATTTCCGTGACAGTTGCAATGAGAAGAACAATCAAAATTTTCAAAATTCAACTATGCCAAAAGAGCAATTGCTAATTAGAATCATTGTTGAAGTAATATACATCCAAAACAGTAAACGGGGAGTCAACATTTCTTACTTTGAAAAAATCATCAAAACTGGTCCATCTCAGTTTTTTAAATATTGCTAGTTTGATTCACAAGACTTGTATTTTCCAGCCTGATTATCATTATATATCTTTTAATGTTGGCTTTTCATTAATTTTTTTATGTTTTATTTTTAATATACCATGCTAGGCCTTCAACTTCTTCCTAAAAAAAAAAGAAACAAACCTTGGTTTAAGAAATAGAAACCATGGTTGATGCGGAATCTCAGTATTTAGTTGTAAAGAACAGATTCTCTTAGACGAATGGTGTTAAATAAATATTTTAAATTTATTTGATGACATCAAGTTGGTCAAATGATTGATCAAGATATCTTGATTAGTCAAAATTAAATTAAAGATCAAAGAAAAAGTTTTAATTATTTATGTCAACATGAAAATCAATGTTTAATGTTTTTCATGGTTTTAAAAACCGAACCGGATCTGTAGGCTCGACTTGTTCAACTGTAAACCGGTCATTCAACCGATTCAGTCCAAGTTCAAATCCATTTTTGTGTAGAACCGGGATTGAACCGATTATAATTAAGGTTAAACTAGAAAACCAAAGAACCTATCTGGTTTTTAAAGAGCTCAATTTTATTTTTAATTGTGATTGGATGAACATAAATAAGATATTTAAATTAAAAAAAAAAGATAAATATAATGTTTTAAATATTTTTATTTAGAATATTATTTGAAATATTAAAAAATATTGTCTTAAATTAAAATATTATTCGTTGAATCAATAAAAATGATATTAATATATTATTATTCTATTATTTAAATTATATTAAAATAACTGAAATATGTATTACCTTATTTGGTTCAACCTTTGGTTGAAACTTGGTTGAATAATTGAACTTTGAACCTCTACCTCTTCCGGTTCGATGCTTAGTTCGGTTTTCACATCCTCGATGTTTTTAAACTTTTTAAATTGAGTAGAGACTTGAAAGTTAGTTAGCAATGAATAGTGTTTAAGTGAGTAAGCTGGTTAAATTCAGTAAACTTTAAACTTCTCAGAGGTGGAAACCCCTTTAGAAGGTTATCAAGCATCACATCCTGAAAATTAGTTAGCAATGCTGTACAGGCTTTGATATCTCAATCTCCTCCTTAGTTCCTTCTAACATGACCAAAGCCATTGCCATTGAAACCTCTAGTATTGACTGTATAAAATGGGTCGTGGGACTAACATCTACTCTGTGATCTCCCGTCATGTGTCTTCCATTTTTTTTGAATGAATAAGTGTTCTTAAACCCATCATATTGGGTTTTGAGGTCGAACTACTAGAACCTCTCCAACAAAATATGACAAGCGTTCTTGAGTACCACGTCACACCACATCTGCTTCTATAACTGATCTCCAATAGAAAACTCAAGCAAGCACTGTTGATTCATGCACATTCCATTTCCTCTTTCAACTAGATAAGAAAATATGGTTGAGGATGCTTCTACGTGGCCAAATCCTAATTCATCATCATCAGAGTAAATATCACATTCTCATAACTCCCACTAACAATAATCAAGCTGCAGATTTTCGCTCTTGCGGTACACTTGGTGTGGAAAATGCTATGCCTTTGCCATGAATATTCCTTCTTCAGCTCAGTCTGCAGGACCCTCTTTATTACTAGCATCTCTCTCTCATCTCCCTAGAATTGATGTTCCTCATCTCTATCCTTCGTTGTTTCCTCTTCGCTCGCTTCCTCGACTCATAGGGAAGTTCAAGGCTATATGTCCATAGCCGTGACACCTAAAACATCTTCTGATAGGCGTATTACTCTTGTTGGGCTTTTTTCACTAAGATCTGTCTTGTGATTCCTCTGTCCAGTCTTCCCAACTCCAGATGTAATCTTGTTGGTAGCTACACCTGTAGGTGGTTATCTAAATGAGGTCAATTTTCTGTTTTATTTTTGTCGTCTTTTCACCTTCAATGCCAAGGTTTGAACATCTCTCAATGTCAAGTAGAGCGGCAGTTGAACAATGATTCTGATAACTGGCTTCATTTCTTTCAAATATCCTACTATAGTATGTTCCTCTGGCTCGACTAATTTACATTTCATCTGAAGCTGCTCAAACTGTGCCTTAAACTCCTCCACTGTTGTAGATGGAGCCTGAAAAATATATCTCGACTGTAGTGAAGATTAGAGTATTTCCTTTGCACATTCTTCCTCATCTTCTCCCATCTGGTAATTTTCTCACTTCATTCTCTCACTCTTTGCATCTGCAAATATTTCAACCATAAAAGCACTCTTTTTCAATTTATTTATCGTGAGTTTCACTCTCTTGTCTCGTAGCACCACTTTGTACTTGAAGATTCTCTCAATTGACTGCAATAATTCAATAAAATCATCTTGATTCATCCCTTCTTTGAACTCTAGTAGATCAACTTTCACTTCAAAATCTCTATGTACTCAATACGTTGCCTACTCTCTCAGCCTCTTTTGATAATGAATTTCTAAGCGTCGTGGTCTGTTCTCTGCATCACTGAAGTCCTCCTTATGGACGGGGTTCTCATTCTCTTCTCTTCCTCCTCTTCGATTATCCGTATCACGGTCGAGTGTAATTTCTCCTTGGGTCCCGTCATCAATCTCTGCAAGCCTTTGTTGAATCTGACAGATCTCTCATTGTATCTCTTCCCAGGTAAGTTTCAACATGTGTCTCCTTGCTAACAAGGTTATGGTTTGGAGTTGTGAGAATGGAAGAGGGTATTTTGGGGGTGGAAGTATGATGAATGCTAGAAACCTTAAGATAAGATTAGGGTTTGGTTAGCTCTGATACCAAATGATATTGGAGCTAACCCAAAACCACAACAAAACATTGATATAGTTGTTGAAATGCAAATAAGTTGTTACAAACAAACTACGGAAATAAGAAATAACAAGGCACACACACAAATAACTAACTAGGGTTGAACTAACGGTGTTGGGAAGGTGTTGACAATGATTGTGGGATAGTTGATGACTGGGTGGTAGCAAGAGCTTGAGCGGAGGATAACTAGTATGCGACGACAAGGAAAGGGATAGCAGGGAGGGGCTGACTGGATGCAGGGAGGCTGCAAGAAGGGGCGACAACCAATAGGAGAGGGGTTGGAAGGACGAAAGCAAGCAGGTGTGTGGTTGGAAGGGGCAAAAACAAGCAGTTGGCTGTTGGAAGGGGTCGACAACAGGCAGACGATTGTTGGAAGGGGCTCAACAACAAGTAGGAGGGGCCTCAAAGGGCAACGGCAAGCTGGGGAGGGCTGGAAGGGTCGGCGACAAGCAAGGGAGGACGAAAGGAGAGGGAGTATGAGGAGATAACCTACACCTTTGAATAGGATATAGCCAGAGCACCACTTGTCCTCGGATACAAACCTAGCAAGGGAGAAGAAGCCAACGATAGAGAAACTGAAGAAAAAACAGAACCTTGAGCAGAGAAAATAACACACACTTACACACACACACACATAATAATACATAACTAATGGGAGTCTCTCCCCTTGGGCAACTACCTTAATCCCATAGAAAGGGGCCCGCTAGCCCCTAAACCATCCCCGTTGAATCAGTTCAACCTCCCAACCAGTTCAACCAGGAATGAGCCCCGCGTCATCCATTATATGGATAAGCATTATTTTAATTGACCTTGGGCATGATCGAGGCATTTTGGCCTTAATTTGCATGACGTGACATTCATAGTTCACTGTTCTCATTATAGTCAATCGAGTTATCTTATGGAATAGATATATAGTTTAACAATTATATTATTAGTCTGCCGTGTAGGATGTCCATCCTCTATGAATATAAATATCCATGAGTTGGTACATCGTGGTATTAGTAGTTATAAAAAATCCATGAGTAGAATGCCTTTTTTTATTCTGAAATTTTAATTATTGTTTGAGAATTTTTACTTTGGTTGATTGCCAAATGTAATATCTTTTAGTGTATTTTGCTAGCTCATCACGGCCACTTGATTATTTTACATGACATTTTTTTTTTCCATGCACATACACTCAAATAAATGCACACACACGGCATATGCAAGCTGACTTGCACTATTTTGTGTGACATTTACTTTGTCAGTATTTTTTACATTAGTTTGTCATTTATTTTTTTTATCTTTTTCATTGCTAGTATTCAGACTGCAATTAGTGTTGGGGGTTAGCTTTCTTGATGGAACTCAAATTTCTGGAGTGTTTGCCTCCTCATCTTTTCATGCATTGCTCTTGGGAACTAGAAGGGATATCTGTTTCCTGGTTTGTCAAGATTAAAGCTTTAATTTCAAGAGTATTTCTGACAAGTTTTATTTATTTGATGCAGGTGGAACTTGAGTACCTTCCTCTTTACAGTACCTATGGTTTGGGATTGACCACTTGGAGTCCTTTAGCATCGGGTGTGCTTACTGGTAAATATAACAAGGGAAACATTCCTCCTGACAGTCGGTTTGCTCTGGATAATTACAAGGTAATGATTTCATGAGGAACTTCATCCATTCTATTAATTTTTTATATAGACATGTTTTTTGGTTTAAACTGATGGAACGTGGCGATCCAGCTTTCCCCCCACTTCTGAATTTTGTGATAATTAAACACGTTACTAAGTTGCTATCCTGCCTCGAACTTATAACCTTTTTGGAAACAGTTAAAATTTAAATATTTAATTTTAATCTATTTTCCATGGCCAGATTTTGAAATATGGAGAAAAAGTGTCAAAACTCTGTGGGGGGTCATTTTAGTGCTAGAGTCTATAAAAACGTCAATTTAATCCTAAACTAATTTAAAGGGGGGCTAAAATGGTCTTCTATGACAATTAAAATTTAGATATGGTTGATGGCATTACACGCAATTATATTAGGTTTTATTTATTTATTTATTTATTTTTTTGAGGCTCCTTATTTTTTACAGTCAAGTTCTTCTTAACATTTCAATTAACATATTGGAAGCCTTTGAAAGGTTAATGAGAACTCTTCTTACATATTTGTCCCATTATGTAGAGAAAAATTTGCGTACGTAAGACGTATGAGGCGTGCCCCGGCGCTGCGTACGTCAGGTAGGTTATAGGGAGGGTATTGGGGGTTATATCCGTGTTATACCTCCTGAAACCTTCCTATAACCTGCCTGTAACCTACCTGTAACCTACCTGTAACCTACCTGTAACATACAAATATATGAAAATAGAAGTGCGAAACTTACTAGTTATAGGTAGGTTATAGGAAAGTTACAGGGGGTATAACGCAGATATAACCCTTAATCCCATTCTCGTAACCTACCCGACGTACGCAGCGCTGCGTACGTATTACGGACGCAAATTTTTCTCCATTATGTAAGGATATTTCTTATTGATCAACTGAATCTATGCCACTTATTGTAGGATGCTAGCAAAATGGTTTTAGTTTTCATTTTTTAACATCCATTACTGATTACTTTCAGTGGATTTGAGTTGCTAAAATGCTTATACTAGCAGGCTGTGGCCTAGTGCTTATCTCCGTTGCGGTTTAGTAGAAATCAGTTTGAGTCACTAAAATGGTCTTTGTGCACTGCAATAGAAAATTGGAAGATTTACATACATACCACTCAATTCCTCTCTATTTTCATATCTAACACGTAGACTTCAATATTTACATATATCACCGCCTTACCTATGCATGAAAATGTGTACACTTGTTAAAAATCAAAATTGGGATATTTTTATAAGACATGAAAGATCTGGATGGTATAGATGTAAAAATTAAAGTTTACATGCCGGATATGTAAATACATAGGAATTGGGTGTTATCAACCCCTCCCTACACCCTCCATTAATGGAAACTTCGTGGGTTAAGTTACAGCCTCGTTGGAACAAGTTTGAGAAGGGCTACTATTATCGTTATCTAACTATGATAATGTTCCGACAGAATCTCGCTAATCGATCTCTTGTTGATGAAGTCCTGGGCAAAGTCAATGGATTGAAGCCTATTGCAGATGAGTTAGGTGTTTCCTTAGCTCAACTTTCTATTGCTTGGTGCGCTTCAAATCCGAATGTTTCATCTGTCATTACTGGTGCAACCAAGGAGAGCCAGGTAATTATTTTTTTCATAAAACACCCGAACTCAGTATTTAATTTCATAACAGTTTAGTTTCATTTTTAATTGTTATTCTTGTAAAAAACTCTATGATTATCTATTTAAGGGGTGAATTCACTTGCATCATACCATGTTTCAGTACTCTAAGAAACTGATGAACAGCCTTAAACAAAATTTTATGACTGACGATTGGTAAAATCTCCAGAAAAATAGAGAAATTTAATTTGTAGTTTTCTAAATGAACCTCATTTTATGTGAGCATGTTGTGGGTTTAAAAACAAATCAAATGTATGAATTGTGCAGCACACGTAAACAATATTTGAATCAGGGCAATATCTTCTGGGGGCATTTACATTTCTAGCACCTAAATCTTACTTCTTACATCTTTACCACCCAAAATTTTCATTTCATTTAAAAAATATAATTATTTTAATTAAGGGCATATATGTAAAAATTGAAGTTTAAATGTTAGATATGTAAATTATGTAAATTAGATATGTAAATACATAGAAATTAAGTGGTATATATGTAAATCTTCCTATTCTAATTTTCCCACCACTCAACTTCCCTCTTGCTGCTTTCCCTCAAAGCTTTAACTCTTCCTAGGAAAACTCTTACCATGAATCTATGAAAGATTTTTTCTTAAACGGATTTTGTTTAAAATTAAGTATTAAATACTGTAATTTCTTTTAGAGGGAGTTACTTGCATACCACCCAATTCTTGATATATTTCATTTCTAACATCCATAACTTTAATATTATGTACATACCACCCAATTCTTCTCAATTCTTCTTCCCTACCATTCCACCGTCTGAACGAATTGGGAAGGCAATGATTGAATAACGACAAACAAGGACCTCCAAAACTCCCCTCTTTCTCCTTCTTCGACCCCACTCATGGGAAGGCAGCATACAAAGACATCCAAAACTCCCTTCTTTCTCCTACTTCAGCCACACTCTTGAGAAGGCAACAATGGGATATCGACGTGCAAATAACTCCACTACTCTCATTTTCTTCTCTTTCCGCCCTGTTCCTTTTACTTTCGCGAGCTTCGCCTTTAGCCATTGATGGCAAAAGATAATGGAGTGGTAGGATTGAGAAATTGAGAAGAATTAGATAGATAGTGTTGAGTGTGGAGCCCAGTTATAATATAATAAATATATATGTTTTTTTTTGCCATTTCTGTAACTACTCCCGCCTATTTGCTTGTGCCTAAGGAAGGTGGGTCCCGCCACCATTAAAGAAGGAAAGGAAGTTACATTTGATAAAAAGTGCAACTTGCAGGTGGTTATATTTAAGTGGTTTTATTTTCTCTTCACGAAATATGCTGGAATGGTTTTTTTCTTTCTTGGCTTCTTGGATAGAACTTCAAGTGTAAAGAAAAGCAAGATTCGGCTCTCCCTCATTCTTCCTCTGTTCTGCGTTGGTTTGCTGGTGAAGGAAGTATCGCAAAGCACGGGGAAGAAGACTTACGGGCTGAAGGATACGAATCAGTAGAATCGCAAGGTGTGCTCTTCGGTGTATCTCGGTGTAGAGAAAAGAAGAGAGTGAGAAAGTGAGACTTTCTCCTACAATTATTATTGTGTTCAAATGGTGTAAATTCCTCAATTAGTAAAATCCTCTGCAACTCCGTGGATGTAGGCAATTTGCCGAACCACGTAAATCTGTGTGTTCTTTTCTGGTGTGATTTTTCTCGTGTCATTTTTTTTTTTCACTTCGTCGTCGATCGTTTTAAATTTCAAAGTTAACACAACAACTGGTATCAGAGCCAATGGCTACAGACGAAGTGAAGATTTCAGGGATCGAAAAGTTCGATGGCACAGATTTTGGTTATTGGAGGATGCAGATAGATGACTACCTCTATGGGAAGAAACTTCATCTTCCGTTATTGGGGAAAAGACCTGAAAGAATGGATGAGACTGAATGGAATCTGTTGGATCGACAAGTTCTGGGGGTTATTCGATTGACCCTATCGAGGTCCGTTGCACACAACGTCGTCAAGGAAAGAACGACTGC